AGGTTTGGTGCGACTGAATCTTCCGGATTTGACCGGTCAAACGCATGAGCCAGAGTCAGGGAATCATCACTACTCATAAAACCCTAAACATTTTCTGGAAGACATTGGAAAAATTTATTGCAGTAAACGAGGTCATTTCACCGACGTGCATAAGCACTTACATTGTAATAACTTGGACCTGAAATGTTGGGAATCTTAATAAACAAATACGATTGCAAGCGATCAAGTTAAGACAAACAAACCAAATACTGCGTTCAGATCGTGGGCGGCAGACTGTATAATTGTCTATAGGAAGATAAACGGTTTTGCTCGAGCACTGGCAACTCAAGCAATTATCCAGTAAACGACAATTGTAGACAACTACCCACGATTCTATTATACGAGGCAAGAACGAGTAATTCGATTGCTACATATGCGAGTCCCCAAGCAAGATGTGCTTCACTGGATATGTGGAATCTACCTTGTAGGCGAGGCCAGCTATTTAAAATCAATATAATGAGCCACGCGACCGGTCAAACTTCGACCTTCACCATCACATGTTACAGTTAAGTCAGTCTACGAATTCTATTATATTTGATAGTTCTATTTAAGCTATCCAAATTGAAAATAATATTCGCCATCTTTGATAGGCACTGAAAACGACCGCTTTGACGCCCAATTCTTGTGACTGTCGTAGGCAGGCGATTTGGTGAGTAGTTTGGGCAAAATATTCGTTCGACACGCGAACATTTATGGGTTTAATGGCATCGATTTTACTCGAAACTGGGATATTGTGACGATAGATACATCTTTTGTGATTTTGTGGGAAGAAGTTACAAAGTACCACCGACCTTTAGCTGTCATTCCTTCTGTGTTGTATGTGGCAGGTCCAGGACCAGCCCTGGTGGTGGTGCCGGGTGGATCAAGCTTATGGCCGAAGGTGAAAGCTGGAGCGCGAGGTCTGCGGGATTCCTGCGGTGGTTTACCTGAGAAAAGTTAATTATTACATAAGTACTGCATTTTATTTCACATCATTTAAGTATTTAACGAGAAGCGAGTTATGTTATATCAATAACCCTTTTTTGTCTTGAAAAATGGTGTAAAGCCTTTAAAAAGGGCATTTCATTTAGAATAATAACTGTTTTCAAACATCACTATCTAATTGATTAAGAATAATGATATCGATAGCTGAATGAAAACTTTTGCGAATTCTCTTCAAACACCAGTGCAAAAGCGTTTAAAAAGCATCAAACTTCTAGCAAAATAAATATAGCATGCATCTGTTATCATACCTACGTTACAACTGTGTGCTAAATTCTTTGAAGTCCCATTTCGAAATGAAACGTTCAAGAATATTAATAATGTTATCAAACTGTTCCCTTTTCTATTGAACATCTGCTACTTTCTTGCTCAATAATGATACACTAAAAATATATTAAACAAGTATCTAAAGACCTATATATTATAATATTATATTGTTTCGTAATTGATTGATACATTTGTGATCCCTTGTGTTTTGCAACAGTAAGTAGTGTGTGTTGTGCACTCACATGAGCGTCGTTTATAAATAATACCTGAGATTTCTCAATACGTTTCGTTATCTCAGAAGAATATTTCCGTTGGGTCCTTGTCATATGTTCTCTTGAAACTACATACATATTTATGGAAAGACATTGAAGAATCGGAAGTAACTTGTTGATTACTTTTATCCTCACACGTGTTTACAATATGCTTAATATTTATTTAAACGTACCAAAGATTGTTGATCACTTCATTCGATAATAATACTCTGACTTAATATACTTCATGTAAATAACATACCATAAGCGCCGGCAAAACAGTTTAAGAGAAACAGTTTTCAATTCACATATAAAATGAAAAATAGATTAAAATATGACATAAAAGGTAACACTACGTCTAACTAAAGAGGTAATAAATAGACGCTTGGTCAATGTCGCACCATATTGTGTATCACACGCACTGATAGAGCTCACCTTGGCCAGGGTCAATGTTTTCGCCCACGCCACACTCTTACCAACACTTTGGTATATAACTATACACCAAACTGACGCAGACATTCAATAGAAAATGCCTTTAAAATCGTTTCCACGAAGCAATCGAAACGACCATCAGTTGTCACTTCAAAGGTGCGATATAAACTAATCTACAATACTCACATATTCAAACAATCCATGGAAAAAGTACAAAACACAATTTAAACCAATTTAGTTAACTTACTAATGAAACTATAAATAAATGTGTGAAGTTATTTGGTGAATAACATTATAAGTATGATCTCACTTTGTATATCAACAGAGCGGACGAGCAAGGCCGGTGCTAGCGGCGCAAGCGATAATCTCACAACTCAAAACACAACCTCTATTGGAGTGGGAAGGGTGACGTAAGCGCGAGCGCACGAGACGTGAACAATACCGGACGAAAAAACACGACGGAAGAAATGACCGAAACCATGCAATGTGTTCACAGCCATGCAAACATGTGTAACTACGTAATATTATGTACATGATACATTTGCAAATAATCACCTTTTAACATAAGAAAACAGGAATTTCCAACTACTCAAAAATACTGCTACACAAAAGAAACGACTCGTGTTTACCTTATTAAAATTTCACGTTACATTCGTCATAGAATATGTTAATCTTTTATTAATTCACGTGATATCTTCCATTATAACTAGTCAGTTTAATAAATCATTCTGAACTCTGTCATTTGTTGAAATTGACTTTTTTCAATATACATATTATTATTTATGAAACTCGTTTTGTGATGTCTATTCTAAGACATGATTTGCGTTTGGATAGGTGTATGCAAGGTCTACGAGTAACTAGTGCTGTGCCGTGTTCTGGTCTACACAAAAAGGTTGGTATTATTTTACCTATTAGCGAGGGTAGTGATACGACTGCTGGGCCTGGGCTAGAGGCCTCAGCTGCGATAGGTCCTCGACGAGTGGTTGGAGTCCACGGATTCTGCCGAACGCCCATCGGACTCTCGCACGGTTGCCAAGTCTTTGATAGCGATGATGAAGTGCGTGCGCCTTTTGTTGATTTTAAATTTGCCTAAAATATCGTTAACTTAGTAAAAGAAAGAATTAAGGCTTTTGTACAATCTTACGGTACAATTGTCTAAAACTCCAATTTGTCTGAATTGATTGCGATTATAAAATGCTTTTGAAAATGATCTAAGTGGACTTGTACAGAGTTTTTATTATAATATGTTAACCTTTTTGAAACATTGTAGTAATGATTCACATTTTTGTGTTAGTCAAGAAACTGGAGAAAAAAACTTAAGCGAGAGGATATCTTTTCTCTTGAGCTATAAGGCATACAAAATAATATTTTTCCAAGAATGTTAATTCCACTAAATCAATATTTACATCGATTATTTAGTTGCTTATGAGTTTCGTGTGCAAAGTAACAATGTGGTATCATTGTTTAAGTCTTTATGGAGTTCGATGAAACGTCTAAGAATTAGTTACAAAGAGTACAAGATAGAAGTTATATATGAAATTATAATAATATAATTACAGGGACTGTTGATGTCGGTTTGGACTCCGACGGCCCTGTCTGCGTCATAGGTGCACCTGATTTACTCATTTCTTACAACACTTTAAAATACCACAAAACGCCGTAAAATTAAAAATTAATCAAAATCTTAAATATGTGTATAAAATTTATATTATCTAATACGAATCATAATAGTAAATAAGAGTAAAAAATTAGTTTAATCAATTCCCAATAAAATTATATTATTTATGTATAAAAGTTACGTCAAAATTGGCAAGTGAAATTGATATTGTTTTTCTTTTTTTCGTTGGAACGAAGATTTGTAATATTAGAAATAGTTTGGTTGGGTAAAATAATGAAACCTTTTAGGTACTCAATTTCTCAGAGTATGAAGTTAGCGGGATTATGCTATATTATGAGCACACGTTAGATTCGCCAATTCTTACTTTTTTCACTGGTTCACATTAACCTATTACCTACACTACACCAAGTCATTTAATTTAATTGCATTTCGCACACAAACAACGGTCGTACTGTTTACGTGTTGTGGACAGGGGACCACGCTTACACAAACATGAACGTCCACATACATGGAATGACATTATCAGCAGAGTTATTGGAAGTGGTTGACGATCGAGCATATTGAAGAAATGATGAAGTCATTTAAATAAAATCCAATCTCTTAATCGTCTTTAATTCAATGACGACTAGGATTTTTACTTTATCTTTTGAAGGTAAACTTCACTAATATCTAAAGGGTAAACCAATTAAACAATCGTTACTAATACATTACCTGCCAGCGTTTAGCCCGTACTTTGGGCTAAAAAATGGTCTATAAAATTAATCGTGTTGGTCACGGCCAGATTACATCTAAATCCGTTTATTCCGTGACAGGTTAAGGAAGATAGATACATCTAATCTGACTAAGTTTTGGTCATCTCGCAAAAATACTTAATAATAAAGATCATAATTGACAAACACCACAACATAAAGAAGACGCAGACCCAGTCTTCCTAGGGATATACAGAGCCGCAAAGGGCCTAACAGGTTGCTGGGGCTTCGACTCGAAGTGCAGGAGTAGGAACGGGGTGGTTTTAGTCAGTAAGAGTCTGACACTCTCTCTCTCGCCTCGCCCGGGCGGGTGAAGTCCTTGGATGATTTTCTCACCTCAAAAAAAAAGTTCTTCCTAGGGATGTACTCTAAGTGACACTATGCACTGAGCGCTCCGGTTCAGGTCTATTGAAAGGGCCCGGTGCCCCATATTGGTGGTTATGATGGCGTGTTTTAGTAAAGTAAGAATCACACGCCTCACCAAAAATTTAGACACATTTTAAAAGATTCCCTCATCATTAAAAATAGACACTTAAAATGCCTACAAAAGATAGCAGGAACAAATATAATCGTCCCACATACTTATGAATCTTCGCCTTAAACAGCTGCATTCTGTTATTTCGCAAATGTCTCAGTATCGTAGAAAGTTGTTACTCCTTTTAGAGCTTACGTGACATAAGTTAAAATGCTGGTCGGTCGACGTTCCCATGTTGTGGATGGTGGACCTACATTCTTTTGATTCGTATCTTATACTGAGCACGGACAAAACTGTACTAACACACTAATATAGGAAGAACGATGTCATTGTTTGTTTTTTGCATAGCTTACAAATACTATACGCCTTCCAAACAATATTTCAGCGTTTTACAATAATTACTTCTTAGGAAGTAATACGCTACTTTTTTACCGATAATTCTACAGAATCGGGGCCTACTTTATTAGATTCTAAAAGATAGTGAAGTATAAATATGGTACTCCATGATTCTTAGTAACACAAGCAAATTTCATTTGCTATTAATATAATTAATTATGTACGAATTAGCGTTAAATATATATTCTCATTTTAGTTTCCAATATTTAGAATTAATTATAAACAAGTATCTATGTATAAGAAACAGGAAATTTTTAGACTACTTTTTTATTTTCATAACATGTAAAAATCGAAACCAATTTGGATTTTTATTAGTTGGTCGTTATATAAATTGTGTCTTATGGATCAGCAGTCAGGTGACTTTATGCAATGTATTTTTATGTCTTTGCTCATAAGCGAGCTCCAATTATTATTCGAGGGGTAACGGACTATTTGGTTTAAGCGACATTTTGGGCGATATTGAGTTATTATATATATTCGATAGAGAAAAATACGCTGATTCCGAATATATATATAACTCAATATCGCCCAAAATGTCGCTTAAACCAAATAGTCCGTTAAAATGAATAATTTTCATTACCACACTCGCCACACTGGAAGATAATTTATTTTGTGCGCGTAGTGTTACTATACATACAACACAATCGATTCCATTTAAAAACTTTACCTTTTATCTGAACTTAATAACATTAAACACAGATATCAGAAGTAGTTACACAAAATATCATCTTTATTACAAAGATATCTTCAACACTGTATTGTTTTCAAATATTACAAAGTAGGTAATTTTGTTCAATGTGTGATTTTAATGGACATATTGCTTCGAGCAAACAATGGTGATCATATTCATGCTATCGCTAAATCAATTGCCATACACAATGTATAAGGTAATACTAGTTGTGTTACTCATTGAAACGCCTCCGTGTTTCGCCCACAACCCTAAAGCTGAGTGACAGGTTAGTTAAGTACTGATTTATTTTGTTCCTACGTGTCTATTGTAAACTAGAAAATACGGTATATAAACGTGTCCATATGTTAAACGTTCATTGTGGGCCTACTCTTGGTGTAGTCCTATATATAACTTAAAGTTCCCCACATTCTTACCACGCTAATCTAATCCACTATCATACTACAGTGCAGGTCTTTATCTAAGGGGGAAGCCTTTATCCAGCAGTGGAGGTTATATTAGGTCTTCCGGCTGTTGACGATGATGATGATGATGAATCTAAGCCACACAGTGAAACATAACATAAGCGTTGTTTCACGACGATTCTCTGTTAGACCCCGTGGCGACGTGGTATCACTCCGATGGAGTCAGCACTATTTGGTGATATTTTCTTTAGTGATTATCAATGCAAATCTTGACATTTTATCTTATTTATATTTCCAAGTAAAATGATTCGGAAATCATAGTAACTAGAAATCTAATACATAATTTATATTATGAGTTGAACGTATGTATGGACCAATGAAAGAAAATTGAATATTTTATGGTGTAAGTACTCGATAAAATGACCGGTGATTATAAACAACGTGTTGTCGATAGATTTCTATTTTCAATAAGCTTTCATTTTATACTTACTTTCATACTCTTTTGCATAAAACACACGCGTTTAATTTAACATGAATGAAATTAATGAATAAAATAAACTTGTGAATGGCTTGCTCAATTTTTCCTTATTTCATAGAATGTTCATTGTGGGTGTTGCAAACCTTGTAAGCACTTAAGGTATTTTTCCAATCCAAATTCATTGTTAACGGCATACTTAATACTTAATTATCAATATCGATATCAATGCTAAAACCATTTTGAAACAAGATCGACAAAAACATGAATTCGGGGCGTCCTGTTCCTTTCAAGGCTTTATTATGATTTAGACAAAAGACATAGGCCTACTTTCTATAACACATAAATCCATTTCTAGCACACATGGAAAAATAACAACTCGATATAAGTATAAATATAAAAACATAGCTCTATGTATATCGAACTCGTCACTGGCTGAAAGAAAAGCTAATTCAGTGCCAGCTTGTACGAGTCACTGTCGTCGTGAAAAATGAATAAAATTGTATTTGGGCCATTCATTGCGTCCTGAAGCCTTCGCGAATATTCCAACTTTTACTAAAACGCTTCTTTATGTTAGAAACTCGACCATATAGCCGTATTTTATTTTTGTCATTTTTGTCTCCTTGCGTGATTCTTTCTTTTCAGTACTTATATTGAAACGGCAGACGCTTCAAGGCTGCCCTTGGCCACAAACTATAATAGTGATTTATTTTCATAATAACATTTTAGTTTACCAATGGATCATTACATGTGTATTATGTTAGTCACAGGTTCCTACTAATCAGTTAGTATTAATTAGTTTGACATTGAGTATACGGTTGTCTAGGCTCTGTTATCCAATAACAACTTATCAGAACAAGTGTTGTCTCAATTGAGCTCATTTGCCGATAACCTGTCCGGTGGTCGGCTGGGGCCGCGCATGCCGTCATCGACCATTTCGTTCGCGACGAACGCATGCATTTCATTACAACACCATCAGGAAACATTTTGCTGCGAGGTTGAAATGTTAAGGACGTTGCAACAATCATGCCTATGATGGTAAAGTAAAAAACTTATATTAGGTCATTTTGCGTGCCAAAAATGCGCATAAAAAGTCAGACAGGTGTATAAGTTCTAACAATTTCTGTATAGCAAGATTTATCGGTCACGTTCCTATTCAGATGTCTGATGATATATGTTAATTGGTTGTCAAACAAATAAGTAACAATACGCGTAAACTGATCGACAAGTTTATGCAAACGTGTGCTAGATGAGTTCACCATCAGAACGGTGAGTTAGATTCAACGTATGTACTATCCAGGTTGACAATTAAAAACAGATCCTAGTCACTTAAAGAAACGCTTCACTGTAATGGTAATGTACGAGAATAGATCACACATAAGCAGATGATTCTAGGGATTTTACTTTGTATTAGCAAGTAGTAAGTGTCAATAGGTAGTTCGTAGTACTCGTAGAATTTGCAATATTTGTGACCCATTGCTAAGGTTTAGTTACCTACACTTAATGCAGATATTCATTATATCCCGTGACTTACTCCTAAACATAGATTTCAGACCTCGAATTACCTTGAAGGCGTACAAAATGAAACAAAGGACAGATAGACAAAGATAAAAAAGACCCTTATAAATGGGTCTTTTTAAGAGGGAAAATCATCGAATGACTTCTTCCCGCCTGGGTAAGTCGGGAGGGAGTGTCAGACTCTTATTGACTAAAATCCACCCCGTTCCTACTCCAGCACTTCGAGCTGGTGCCCCGGTAACCCCTTAAGTCCTCCGCGGACGCGGAACGCGACGTGCTGTGCACCCGGGATTTATACTTATGGGTCTGAATCCTGCAGTCTAAGGTTTCATGAGAAAAAAGAAACCGTATCTCAAAAAGAACTCAGCGTCAAACAGTTAATAAAAAGCCAAAGGAAGACGTTTTCTTACAATATTATCCAGCTTTTGATCTTATTTTCTAATACTAATTCGTACACAGTTTGCGTTAGACAAACTTCACACCTAACTTGGCGTTACGGCAACGCAGTTTCACGCTTGCTTAAATGTAAGTATACCTACAAAATAGGTAAATATGACTTCATCAACATATTTTATATTATTTGCAGTCTCTGAAATATTTTGCAGTCTACATGACCTTGTACACAATAGGAAGATTATTCCATTAGAACAACGGACTGTCAATTGAGTTAAACTGCGTGCAGATTGAGTTAACGTCCATTTTATTGTTGCAAACATTTTGCCAAAAATTATAGTACTTTGTGCCTGGTAAATGTCTGGTGTCGTATGTAATAAAGTGGACTTGTTATTGTTGGTAACGTTTTTCCAATTTATATTTTTGGCGTCCATTGAAATGAATTGTACAATATCGTTCGTTGTTTACTTGCTTATGTTTGTTATTCTTGCAAGCAAACAAACAGATTGCGAATTTGGTATTTTTGTACATTTTCTACTTTCACAAAGATCATAAGTTAGGTGCATACTGTTATTCTGACATATTAAAAAGAAAATTAGGATCAAATTGAGTATGATGACTTTGATGATCTAACTATTGACGATGTTTAATAGCTACACATATACTACCTATATACAATGTTACCATTCGTTTAAACTCCTACAGAATGTTAAAAGTGTAATTACTAATTCCATTATTATTCTATGAACATCTCAACATATTAAGTTACATATAACTAGATTTAATCTAGGTTCTTCTTCTCCTTATCTAGATGAATAGTTATCGTTTTAAGTTCAGAGTGACCTACTCTTACGTTATCAGTACACACGTTCAGGATCAAGTTGGGTTTTTAGGATCAAGTAAAGACGCCTACTGTTGACTTATGGTTTTACATTGTTCTGTTTTAAAGGGTTGAAATTGTGTCCTGTAAGTCCTGTTATCTTATTCGAATAGTGCCATTTGAAACTTTATAAAAATATATTGAGTCTAGTTAGATCTGAGTCGCAGCAGACCAGGGATAAAATATTAGACGCTAATTGCAATTGTTGTCATAATATATGGCGTCTGTCTTGTTGCCTTTGCTTACTAAGACTTCTAGAGTCTAAAACGCCTTTAAAAAAGTATTTCTGTAACAAAATAACACACACCAAAAGAAAAGTGGATCTAAATATTTTCCAGTCGATCTTGTTTTGTAATGAATAGGTGTATAATAATAACTAATCATGGAATAAATGCTTAAATTTATAATTCACTAAGTATCTATTTAGATAATATGCATAATTAACACATATAGATACCTGTTCCTCTCAACATAGATACGTATTAATAAATATAAATGTTAATAACATAGAGAGTAGTAACTCACCTGCTCGCTCTGATTTCAACAAGTAACAACAATGAATCGAATCGGACAACACTATGCTACGATGCAACAATTAGAATTATTCGTAATCGTGGTTTTTTGTACTATACTACTAGTTTATTTATTTACGTTAGACATTACAGTCGCGAATTTTCGATCAGCCGTGGCTGTCGTCGGTAGCGCGGCGGTCGCTCGGAGCGGTGCACTGCGGTCGAATGTGTTTAGTTATCGCCGTGAGCGAGTTGATGAATGTCTCCGCTGGATTAGCCATAGCCAAGCGTGGGCGCTTCCCGCCAAAACCGGTTGCCATGGTTACCAGACGCCATCACCATTTCTTGGTTTACGCATGCGTATTACTTTGCCTGAAGAAGTGCTAATGTTCGTGGTGGTAGGCTTCTTGAAGAGTAAACAGTTACCTTTAACTTTTTAACAACTAACTGTCGAATTGTCCAAACTCTTCAACTGGCAAGTTAACCATATTTAACCCAAAGTTACAATTAAATCGACCCGTTTTCTTAATAATACAGATATATCTGAGCGTTACAGGTACGTATTTAACAAACGCCAGAAACTAGACCAGTAAAAAATAGCTTCCGCAAAATCGAACGATACACAAAGTCATGTTAACTTTGTCACATAGTCACATACAAATAAACAGGCCTTGAATGCTTGAATGAGTTTTCGATACACCACAAATCGAGAACATTCGAGATCGTACTAAGGGATTTCGGAAGACCACTTTCAATATAATAGTTATCTAATGTTCAAATCAAAAGCACTCTTTCTCGTTTATCTTAAAGTTGAATATTGACCTACACAAAACATTTTACTAATAAGGCAAGATCTAAAAGAAGCCCAGTCATCGAACCGCAATATCGGTACCTAGTTACATTTAAGGACATAGATACGTCATATGTAAATCCACGGGCCTCCGCCCCCATGATCCAAATGGGCGCTTAAGTACCTACAATAAAAAACATAAAGCCTTCTTAGTTTTTATCGCATGATCGTAAAATGGTAGAAGGCGCGACGCCAAAATTTGTCACTACTTCGGAAATTTAAAGGTCGGAAACATAATGTAACTCTTTCTTCTCTTTCTAGTTCCTAAGCAAATTATCTCAAAGTTTCTTATTAGAAATAAGAAACGTGTTCTGAACTCTAAAATGTGATAGTTTCGTTTTTATGGACAGTCTAGGAAATGAATAAAAAAGAAACTTATGTCATATCCTTTATTAATACTTGTATGGAGGTTAACAAAATACGTAATTCAAATATCAAGCATCTCTTCCATACGAATGGAGTAGGGTACATCATGAACGGATGTCCAATTGACGGTTCTAGAGCGCGCCACAATGTCACCCACGAGCTGATCGCGAAACTCCAGCCAGCGACGTGCAGAGACAAATTCTTGGAACAATTGCCGCTTTGATGGTATCTATAATAAAAATCAATTTTTATTTACAATTTGGTATAACAGTGTCATACGAAAAGATTTTTAAAAATAGTACAGTTTTTATGAGATAGGTGCAAAGAGCCGACGGATCACCTGATGATAAGTCATTAGCATCGCCCATGGGCATCTGCAATACCAAACGAGTAACAAGTACATCGTCGGCCTTTTTTAAAAAGAAGTTGTGTATTACCAACCATATAAATGATAAGGATGGAAATGCTATCGCGTAGGATGATGGCGAAAAGATATGGCAGGTTAACATAACTAATAAAAAATGCGTCAGAGCACTCTCCATGGTACACCTAGAAAACATGTTCAGTTTATCCGAGTTCCATTTTACGAGTATAATCAATTTCTTAACTTTAAAATCATCACACATCTATTCAATATTTATGCATACTTAACGCGTTAAATTGAGAGGTCAATTGTAATATATTTAATTGTCTCTAGGTCAATTTAGTTAGGAAGCTAAAATCTCATAGTTTCAGAACTCACTGTCTAATACAATTTAAATTAATGGTAATGAGTAAACTTGATTGTAAATAGTTTGTTGGAGTGGTCGCAACTGCGATTTTTATCTAAGAGAAGAACGGTATCGTTTATATGTGTATGTCGGAAGAAGAACGGTATCGTGTATGAGTTTTATAATTGAACAAAACTATGTATTACTATTAAACTGTCAAACACCAAGCGGTCACCGGTGACCGCAACCTATTGTTCTTTAATTGTGTCTATATTGACGGTGCTCGACGAGTTAATTTCTACTTGGAACGAAGTATACAAAATCAAATGAAACATAAAGGTAACAAACCAGGTTTAGTAGATGATAAATTTTACCTTTTTATCCAAAAAGTGTTCAATACGTGACCAGATATTAGCAGTGTTCCGTTGTAAGAGCCACATTTTCGGCATTAACATACAGTCGACGGGGGTTAATGCAATAATACGGCGGTCCCTCATATTTTCACCAAACCCAAACGTTGATCCAGGATGATATCGACACACCTGTACATTTTTGAAACTAGAATTATTTAAAGCCTTAAAATCCATACCAAATCCATTTTACAAATTAATATCAATTAAAAGGATAACACTACTTAAGTATGATTTGAATGAAAATTATTTACCTGCATGAAGTAAGTCCGAAGATTTGGTGGTCTCACTGGATGTTGCACGCTAAACCTGTAAAAATAAGACAATTCTCAATAAAAGTAGGTCTACATTCCACGAACAAACATCGTGAAATATCGAAACATTACTTAGTTTACCTCACTGAGTCTCGATTCTCCGAAGGTGGCAACAGCACTTCAGATTTTAGAGAGGACCGCTGTTCTCCAGGTAACCCCGAATCGGCTTCCATTTCAGATGTAGACTGCATTGCTGACGTAGCATCTACAGATCCAGATCGTGCTGCCACCTCTGACGAAGTCACTTGATCTTCGCTAGACAACATCTCCTCCGGTATTACACTTTCTTTTTTAAGTATAGAACCTGATCTCTTAGTGTCAGAAAATCTCATAATACTTTCTAAACGTTTTGACCCTGACCGTGACATTTCTGGTAGATCCTGAGACAGCTGTTGCATTTCTTTAGCAGCTTTTTCTTTGTAAGCATTAAAATATTTCGCGTCAATATCCTGTTCGCTTTCTTCTTTTGGCACCTAAAATTTTGTAATTTTCCTCACATTATAAAATGTTAAGGTAGATCCTTACATTATACTAAGTTCAAAGGTGTATCCTTACATAGGGATCGTATAGCGTGTAAGAAGTGTGTCCGCATCGATGTGTGGCACACACTTGAAGAGTCTCTATCATTTGACATTCTCCAGATAAAATAAAATATACAAAATTAGGAATTCCGCACCCATCCCCCAGTATTATTTCGTTTATATTGTACGATTTCATTTTAGCCACAATACATCCTTCGCGTCGAGCTACCTGTAAAGAAAATAACAGCACCTTAAAACTTAAGACACACGCCTATCGAATAAGGAAAGCTGGGCTTTACGAGCTCAATTTGTGTACCGTTCAGGATTTCTTAAGACTTCATAGATGAATGCAGATCACTTTGAACATTCGATCCGTCATCTTTACGTTTAGTGTTAAAGGATTTAAAACCTTATGTATACTGTGAAGGGTTGATAAAAATTACTTAATATATAAAGTTTACAAAATAATAGATAAAGCCACCTCTTATGTTCATACCTCGTCAAGCGCATCAAAGTATGTGAAAGCAGACATAGCGCGTCGCACTTCATCCCACTGCTTCTGAACCGAAGCTTGGAGTACATTCTTGAAGTCTTCTTTCATTAATGCCAGTAATTCGCAGTGACCTATAGATATTTTATCAAGTATTATATTTGAACCAAACACTATCACTACAGTACTATCAGTGTAACTAACAGAAACATCGATAGTTACCAAGTAACGGTTTGTTCGATAACTTTAGTTCGTATAAAGCCATTCGTCGTTACTTCGCAACAAATTAACAAATTAGCATATAGTCAGCCAAAGCTCTTATTTTTTAGTAGTAAAATGTATTTGACTGTGTAATTTTACTTTTCTTTACATCTATTTTTAACTAGATATCCCTGTATCTGATCGCGTACTAATACGCCAAAATTCGTCTGGGTGCTGCTTGCAATCCTATTTCCTACTATTCTACTTCATACTTCTGTCTACACTGTGTTTAACCTTGTGACTAACCGTATGAGTGTGTATATGTGTGTTTGTTACTCTTTCACGTCAAAACGGTTGAAGGAATCTGGATAAGATTTGGAATAAGGGTAGAATATGGTTTGGAATAATACATAAGCTACTTTTTATCACCAGGGGACGCGGGCGAAGCCGCTGGCAGTTTATAATACTTGCAAGCATAGGACGTGATAACCTAGAGTCAAATATATAGTTAGATAATTCTAACCACCAGTTGTGCAGGTTGCAGTCCTTGGAATATTATGTAGAAGGGAAACTTCGCCAAACATGTCTCCCGGATGCATGATACCAATGTCCACTTGAACATGTTGCTGCAGCAGCTCATCAAAGATCAACTGGCTGACGATGACGTCACCAGTAACTATGAAGTACAACGCGTGTGCTTCGTGATGTTGTCGAACTATCACACGATTGGGACTATAGTACTTGAAGTACGTAACCGCCGCCAACTTCTTTTTTACATGCTGAGAAAGAATTGGATACCGTTTTATTTCCCTATTTTAAGTGTAAAATGGTAAGTTTCCTTTATTTAAACGCGTAGGTACTGTAAAGGTGATATGACTTAGTAGACTGATAGTTGACTTGAGCTGTTGTTTTATGATTTTCCAGTCGCTGCAGTAGCAACCGCCCATTTTAAATCTAATGTCTCGTAGAGCCTACAGACATACTCACAAATCAATCATACCGTTTCCACGATTTTGTGAACAAATAAAGCGTTGTAAGTAGTACTAAGTACCTAAGGGAGATCGTCAGGATTCATCACACTTACGTTAGGATACCTTTTGAAACATTTGAGTCCTCCAATGATGCGATAAATATATTTCTTTTCATGATCAGTTCTTTCACTGTTAGGCTTGTTCAGAAGCGCTTTGTCCTGAAAAACTTAATCATTTCATTTATTCGCCTACATTTTTTCGAAAATGTTTAGTAGTAGGATACATGAGAAACAGGAAACTGTAATAAAGCATGGTTTTACACCTATACCATTATAAATAAATATAAATAATAAATAATTTTATTAGAATTAGATTTTAACCGATATCACTTTTATTGTGTGACAAAAATGAAACTTAAGTTTTTGAAAACTATACAACTCGACAACTATAAAACAAGGTCAAAATTAAATCAAAAGTTTTACATTGATAGTCAAGAGTTGCTTCTTCTTGGCCTTTCCACGCACAGCCTGCGCGACTCTTCTCTTTACGTCTTCAACTCCTTCGTACTGCTCAGCAGCTTCTATCATCCAATAGCAATTTGCCAACACCATACGCGCTATAGCTCGAAAACGACATTTGGCACGAAACTTGCGTCTCATAATCTCCTCAGGGTCCTAAAATTACATAATGTCATTTTTTCCAAAAATACTCCAATCAACCATGCATGAACAGGGTCAATTTAATTTATTGTTCAGGAATCACCAGTTTGAACAAAATACTTTATAATTTTGATTTTAAAATGCTTGAATAGTGTACATGTACATTTTTTTTTTCTTCTTCTTAGGCAACCGAGTCTCCAAAACGGTGTTGTCGACTATACTGCCAGTGTCGAGTGGTGGTACATACCTATACATATAACACAGCATTTGGTCAGCGATAAGCTCTCTTGCTACGATGGGACTATAATAACACAACTAATGAAAACTAAGTAGGTTCAACTTCTGTAAAATAAATGCAGCTTTAACCCAAGTCATTATGAAACAGCGATTTTAAACGGTTTTATGCATTTATGTTGTAATATTTCTAATATCATTCAGTAACCCGCGATTTTAGTTAATGTCTGACGATAGTTATTATAAAAACAATCCACTAATATTTTGCTGTAACTCAATAAAAACAAATATTAAAACCACTTACCAGTTCTTTCTTATCTCGATTGCGGGTAGAAGAAGCCATTGCTTATTTCTTTTATTAAAAAGCTTACAAACGAAAATAACAAAGGAACTAATTAACTAAAATCTTCAAATGTACACAATACAAAAATAGTAGCGAGAAAATAAGTCGATATGTACAATGTCACATGTCACTGAGGATTTTTATGACATATTAATTTTTTTAGGTTTAGGCCTGACTGAATTAGGTAAATCATTCAAAAAGGTTGGTTGGAAAGTATTCTAATTGAACTGAGCTTAGAATATTTAGCCAAACTGAGTCACGATTCACGGCCCGGCAAGGCGTCTACCTGCACAGGAGCTGATTTTACCATTTAATACAATTATGGCAAAGACCCTTTTTTTTAAGGGGGGATAATCATCGAATTACTGGTCAGTAAGAGTCTGACAAGGGAGTGACAGACTCTTACTGACTAAAAACCACCCCGTTCCTTCTCCTGCACGTCGAGCCGGAGCCCCGGTAACCCGTTAGGTTCTCCACGACTACTTATACGTATTACAGCCTACTATTACGGTGACAAAGACTCTTACTGCCCTTATCTCAAGTTAAATTGACCGGCACAACGCTCGTTTTACTTTTTTTTCCTAGACTAGACTTTTAGACTTATCATAAGTTAAGAAGTACTTGCGTCCAAGTACCTATCATTAAGTTCCAATGTTCCCAATGTCCATTTTATTAGTGTAGCGTCGATAGCGTCATTGAGTTTTAAGAACTCGTCAAGGTTTTAATCACCCAGTATAAATCTAGTACATACCGACCTTACCTATATTTGTATGAAGTATAACTCTGCAAATCGGCTACACTACTAAACAAAATATTTCGTTACTTAATTAAAAAGCTGATCTGTTTTTATGTTTGGGTTGGTAGGCTGGCCCCTCCTGCCTACCCTTAGAGTATTCTTGTATTTTGTCGTGTTTTATGCATACTATCAATCTAAAATAAATAGTGCCTTAATTTTGGGTTAGGATTCTATCTCAGCGATACTGAATGCTGATTTATGTTCGTTGGCGGATGTGAACAAACAAAACTTGTATAAGCGCCATCTATTATTTTGACGGCAAACTATTAATATTCTATTTCCATTTATCACCATCTGTCACCATCCTTCATTAAAATTGACTTGTTTTTACCTAAAAATTAAAAATATATACTTATTTATTGCGAAAGTATATTTTTGAATAAAATAAACGAAGAAAAAACAATTAAAAAATTTCTCATTTTTATTTTAGAAACTCGCTTCAATACAATAAGAACACGCGATATTAATAATCTGTGGACATGATTTAACAGTTTTGACAATTTTGACAGCAAACAATTTGACATAGAAAGATTCGTCGGCGTACCTGGCTTGTGATATTTTCAAAGCGATTTCCTCGCTTTTATTGAAATAGTAAACGAAAAGAAGTTTTAAATCTACTTGTAAATTAATCAGTTGATTATAAAAATATCAAAATGGTAAGTTGGATTCACGTTGTCTGGAGGGTTATGAATCGTAACACAAGTTCTAAAACAGCAAATCATGATTTCAGAGTTTTGGTCTGCCTCCGTTGAAAGTAAAGCCTGAACATGTCAGTAATATTGAGCCCCAGGAAGGCCCATTTGGAGTGCCCAACCCTCTGGTGGCCGGTATGGCTGCTACGAAGTCCAAACTTGGCATGTCTCACCCGATAGAAATATCTGAGAGAAATGTAAGTACCTATATCCCTTCTTGTAGCCATAAAGTAATTAGTAAACTAATCAGTTTAGATCATGGCTTTTCGCCGGAACCTTTAATATATTCCTAGAGGTCCACATCTTAGAACCTCGGACCTCAACATTCAAAACGAGATAACATTATGCAAACAAGGAAGACATATTCCTTGATAGTGATCTTACAAAGTTATACACTTAGAAAACATGGTTTCTTAAAGTTATACTTTTACACAATGTTTAACTCGTCGAGTACCGGTTTTGCAGACACAATTATAGAACAATAGGTTGTGGTCACCGGTGACCGCTTGGTATTTGACAGTTTAACCCATGATGACTAAACAAAATTCACTTTTGATTCAAATAGGAACATAGAATTGTTTTCTGTTATTTTTACAGAATATTTCTGAACAGTATTTAAGTATCACCAGGTTTTGTTAACTTTTGTATCAAAATTGGTTCATTGGTTTAAGTGCACAAGTGTTAAAAACAAACTTAGTTCATGGACATGATTTGCCAGATTGTAGAAATAATACAATGTTTTATCTTGCACTTATACTAAAACTGAAGAGGCTAATAAACCAAACTAAGACTACATAAACTAATGTGTGATTTGTATTGTTATTCTTGCAGTATCATTTAAATCAGGAAAAGATGAACATGGCTATGCTCCGTAACATCCAGGGTCTGCATGCGCCACTCAAACTCACCATGGAAATGAAGTTCACTAACAAAGTAAGTTTTTAATAAATGTACTATTAGTAAAGAGTTTATAAAATCATACTGCAATTTATTGCTGTTCAATGTAATGTAACATTTGGAAACAATGTCATTTTGTTGTTGGCAAGCTTTTAGTAGGGTATGTTCAAAAATGACTATCATAATGGTACATTTCTATTGAATAATTAACTCGTTGAGTACCGTCATTATAGACACAATTATAGAACAATAGGTTGCAGTCACCGGTGACCGCTTGGTGTTTGACAGTTTAATTAAATAAGTATAGGGAGACTTAAGATAGACATTAAGTGGATAATATTCTGGAGAAATATCCTAACATTGTTTTCGAAAATTCTTTTCCAGGTTGGGCACCTTCCTTTCCTGCAGAGGTCAAACTTCCAGCACGATGTGTTGACTGGCAAGCACTTGGATATTGGTTTTGAAGACATTCTGAACACTCCAGAGATGTGTGAAGTAGCTGGTCAGCCCCATGCTGTTGTAGAGCGATCTCTCGGAATACTGTGAGCTAGTTATTTTAGGTTTCTCTGTATTGTACTGCTGATTTTTAATAAAAACTTATACTAATACTTTGTTTTTTAATTCAATAAGAAAACAGGAATAAAAGAAAATAAAAAAAACGAAGAAAATATCTAACTTACAGCATTGAAAAAATTGTTCTCGTGTCCTGAGTCACAGTCATGAGGAAGCCACCCTAAACACTGGCAGCATTGCCATATTGGATGGCAATGCTTGACCTTTGACCAAGGTAGTAGCCAGCCTTTTGATAACGTGAAGTGTCAACCATCCTCTATACAATATCTTTTCAAAGAAGGTGTGCACACTCGTCGAGTACCGTCAATACGTCTGTATTGACACTACAAACCAACATCCACTTTTCACGCTTATGTTATGAATCCCATGTAATAGGGGGTCAGCCTATTACCATATAGAGGGTACAATTCCGGATTCCGTGCTACTACTACCTACTGAGATTTTTTTTAAAAACCCAGTTGTACTTTGCCGGACACGGGAATCGAACCCGATTTTATATTACACGATTACAATGTTACATTGTTAATTAATATTTATGGAGATTTAGGAACTAAGTATTAGAAAGTCGATGTTTTAGTTAGACGCTTTTATTTGATCCACGAATCAGTTCTTCACAATGTCGAGTATTCGAAGCTTACATATTTTCTTCACTTCATTGATACCAGTTGTAATTTCTTGCTCCCTATTATTGCTGTACCGATGTTGTAGTCCTTCAATTATTGACTGCACTTTATTTTCTCTCGCACAAATGATGAAGGGAAAGTCAAACTTCGCTTTATACCTGAAATAAAAGAAAATTGTTACAACTTTAAATATTTGTATTTAGTCAAACGTAAATACATATCCAAAGATTATTATTATTCCTAACACATTTTTATTTCATCGAATTTTTTATTTGCTCCATTGAGAAATTCAGTTATGCCATCTAGTAAAGAACAAATTAACCCGTTCATTTTGAACGTTTGGAATACTTTACCTCCGATCCTCAAAAGATGGCAGCACTACCACTTGTTGACAAATATAACTCACTAGATGTCGTTATGACCAACGTTTCGGATGTAGTAAAAAAGATATTATTAAAATCGATATGATGAAATACAATTTCATCGTTATTTCATTCGTTAGGATTTCCTAAGTAGGCACAATTTATTTAAAATCTTACTCCGGTAGACTAAGGAAAAGTAGACAACCTGTGGGTAGTTTTAGGCTCTATTCCAATTTAGATATTTCTAAGTGGATAAACAAACTCATGTGATCTATGGGATTAGTTCACTAACATTTGTCCTATCCTTTTTTTTCAGAAAGATGTAACATGCATGCAATTATCGTTAGTTTTGGTTTTGTCTCATTTCGTTTCCCTAACTGGTATCCCCAAGCCACCTGCCACGCCGTGTGGATTATGGCAAGCCATCTCTACCTCTAGAAGGTAGCCATTGTTTGACAGTGAACGAATTCTGGATGTTGATCGATCTGACCTTTGATTACTCTCGTCCATGATTTTCTTCTGTTCGGGCGTTAGTCCTTCCAGGCCAGCTGCCCTCTGTTCTCCAGCAGACTCTGCCGTTAGTTCACCTCTCGCTGCCAACCGTCCAGCTAGGTCAGGGTGCAGCTTCAATATTGTCAGTTTATCTGTAATTTGTTAACGACATTCCGGAATATGGAGTTCTCTGCAAAAATTTGGGATTCGATCTAAGGTTTATAAACCTTAACTACATTTCGGAACAAACTCAAAGTTTCATTTTTGATCCCTATGCCAGACCCCTTTGCCAAAGCAAGCAGGTAGGTTCTTCTACTTGCCACTTAGATGATGATCTTACAAGTCCCCTAAGTATCTTGTTTTTTTTTTAATAATTATTATGTTAATTAGAACCTTTCTTTAAATATATGTAATCTTACCTTCTAACGTAATATGTTCCAAATAAGTTTGGAATGCTTCACAAAGAGCTGGTACATTCTGGAACGGCCTCTTCCCTTTCACCTCTTTAGCTGCATAAGGCCATAATTCAATAACATTAGCAAACGTTGACTCAAATTGTTCATCACTCAAAGAATTTACTCCAGAAATACTTATTGGTAATGTTATAGAAGCCATTGTAAATAATTTTACGTACAAACGTCAGTAAAAACTTCGGACAACTGCGTTATCTGTTTGTTTTATCAGCTGACGTAGTTACGGGTCATTATGAGATGAACTATAATTAATGTGAAATATTTTTATGTGTTTACTTAAACGATTTGACTATTTTGGTGATAGTTACTTGTGTGATTATTTGTTTCAAGAATCGATTCATGTCGGTTTGTCTCGACTAAAATCGGTACCTTTACTGTCTCTTATTTGAAAGGCAGAATTAAGTATTATTGATGGCTAATAAGTACGACTCACAGGTCTACCAAATAAGATTAAAATCCACTCTGAACCCACTAAAATATAAATATGTGACAATACACATTCCAAATTAACCTACCTTCGACATCGCCGCGACCACGCACTCTACTCGTGAGGAAGAACCCCTCTGTGGTTCGAAATTAGTAGAGCTTTTCTCAGCATATTCACGCGAGTAACCTCGATTTTTAGTTAATTTAGTATGTCTCACGATAGTTATTATAAATACACATTCCTATAAAATAAATTATTTACCAATTTAGTCATTAAAAATTTCCGTACCAACATGGAAACGACTCTCCTAAACTGAACTGAAAAAAAACTCTTATAAACACTCAAAATATAGTTTTAAGATTACAAGACATTTTTACGCAACAACTAAATAAAAAGCCGTGCAATTTCAATCCAAACTAACATATTCTAACCCTTTACCAAAAGGATTAAGGTTCAAGGGAGTCGTCCCCGAGCGTACAGAGCATCTAAATCGTTTCGTAAAGAGAAACAAAAGCGACATTTATGTGTCAGTTCTGGGAGCTGGAATAAATGTGGTTGAAGGCGAATAAGCGCGAAAATGTGCGAAATAGCGCGAATAAAGGGGAATAAATCATCGTAGTAGCGTTGACGCGCGCTGTCCCTAACGACGCCTCGGGGAGAGCTGCTGCGCTGTCGCCCGCGACAAATGGCCGCCAGGGAGATCTCTTGCCTCACAACCCGTACACCATTACAACACCGACTACAGTTACCATGTTAGGTTTTTAAGAGAGATTTGTTGCCAAGACCAAAAAATGGCAAGCATTTTATGCATTCCCAAGTTAACGTTGAATGGTTTCAACTTGACTTCAAGATTGTGGGTCTGTTCGAAATGAAGACAGGTATAACTGAGCTAGTAGGGGTTACGGATAGACGGATAGACGCCTTGGAGTAGCGGAAAGCACCACTAAACACTTAAATTAAAACTATTAACATCGAAGTGTTCGTGAGTTTTTTACAATGAAGGGAGCAGTTGTAGACGAATACCTAAATATGCTTACAAATTCTCATTTTTTAATAAATACTCGTAGTATTTATCTAAATATTAGTTGTTTGCTAAAAAGCATTTTCTCCATTCCAAAAAAGGACAATAAATGGTCATAAAACTGTACGTTTCATATCACGCTCAACCGCCTTATGGTCACCCTACAAAATATGAATGCGTCCCGTTTTGATAGCAATTTGAAATTTGATCCGGCTGCCGGATGTTTAATTATTATTTTCTCAATGCAAATCGTTACATCACACATAAAAATTAGATTTTATAACGAACTACCTAATTCATCTTTTATTTCGAATGGTCTTATGGCTTCTTAATTACTACTTAGATACCTGTATTGATTCAGATAAATTAATAAACAATCTTAATTTGGGAAGGTAAGTGATATACTAGATTCCTATATTATTATGTGGCTGTTAAACTGCCTCGTTGGCCGAGTGGTCGCAAGTGCGACTGTCGGGCAAGGGGTTTCGGGTTCGATTTCCGGGTCGGCCAAAGTATAATTGTTTTTTTTTCAATCTCAGTAGTAGCACGTAGCCTAGAAATATGCCCGATATATGGCAATAGGTTCACTCCCTATTACATGGGACTCAAAACATAAAATAGTGAAAACTGGGTATTACACTGTACAACGGCATTAAGTGCCGTAATGTGCATCTCTGCCTACCCCTTCGAGGATGAAAGGCGTGATGTTATGTATGTGTTATTTTCAATTATGTACATACCTACCTAATCTATGCATATAGATAGATACTTATTATAGGGAAAGTACTGTTTGATACTCTTTACGTAGAATTTACATCAAAATAAGCTGACTTAACTCACGACTCAGTCTAATTAATCACGAATGAATAATAAAACGATTCGTGCAGACTGTACCTATGTAGCTACTAGCTAGGTAAGTACTTATTTACCGAATAGGGTAATGTGGAAGTTTTTTGGCTTGGACAAATTTTAATGTGACTATCCTATCATCGAATGAATCCCGCCTCGGTAAGGCGGGAGGGAGTGTCAGACTCTCACTGGATAAAAACCACCCCGTTCCTTCTCCTGCTCTTCGAACCGGAGCCCGGTAACCCGTTAGTTTCTCCGCGACTCCGAGTATGATGGCATTGGAGATTAATTCAGTCCAGCTCTAAACAAGGGCTGTAGAAGATGATGATTGAATCGCAAGTGATCACGTACGAGACTGAATTCCTAGGAAAGATGCGTTTTATTTAATTGATAATTTTTTGCACCGAACTGATCTGAAGATGAAATGATGTTGATTATCAACAGTTCGGCTATAGAGATATTGAGCTTTCTCACTAAGTTAAAACACCTTTAGAAAAGCTTAATTAGGCAGCCTCAACCACCTTGGAAGCTCTTTTTAGCGAAATTCTTGCTACAACCTCCCAAAACTGCTTCAATTCCTGTAACCCAAGAAATAGATAGCATTACCTAACTAAGTAGATTCTAACCATGACAAGACTGAAACACTCAAATCGCAGCGTGTCTTTTAGGGAAATTAATGAGGAGAAAACGAAACCATTGTCTCTTCCTGAGAAGCCCAGTCGCCGAGCACTACGGAAATTTGACTATAAATAAACTAAATGAGGTCAATGTATGTGCTGTTTCTTATAAGTTATGGCAAATATGCCGAAAACGCATAAATGAACGAAAATTATTGTAACTCCGCTTTCGAACATTGGCACCATTTAGAATAATTTTGCTTTTAAAGGTACCATGGCCTGTGAGAAAATTGGGCAACACAATGATCCACCATGTCCTCTCCAGCCGCTCGTGTACGAATGGGAAAACTAATAAAAGTGCCAGTCTTTGATAGAAAATTCGCATCCACATTGCCATGCAGTTAGAAGTTCATCCCAGGCAGTCCGTTAAACTATACGTATACCTATACCTAGGTAGCTAATAGATTCATGTAAATTAATAGCACTTAGAAAAGCTAACAAGGTGCTTAGGTCGCTTTGATTAGGTTACATATCTATCTAGAAACAAAGAAAAGCTTTTATTAAAGGTTGTAGGTACTTACCTAAGATGTTCACCCACTAGATGGACAAACGACCTAATAAATGTCGTATAGATGCCGATAGATGCAAGTGACTTGTCGTTCCCAACCAACCGATCTGGAAGTCTTTGGAATAAACTGGCTAGATCAAAGATTGTGAAATATCTATGTCCCAACAGCTGCCTACTGCCTATGTACATAGTTAGAAGCCTATGCACCTATCCTACAATAAGTCGCTCTAAGTTTGTCACTTACAAAGTCGTTGTACCAAGGTGGGTAAGTAGCTCCTTATTTTCATGAAAAACAATATGTACCTACTTCCCTGAAATATTTCATAGAATGAACTCTGAAATTGAACAGAACCCAAGTGTGTAAGCAGGTAGCTTCCTAATGGCCTGCTACATAGGCATTTTTAACCACTTAGGTATAGGTACTACCTACCTCCTAAATTCCTAAGTAGATATTTAGGCACATACCTATTTTACTTAATACCTGCGAAAGTAATGGTCCATAAAATGACATGCGACATAGCATGACGCTTTTTAGAATAATTATTAACTTAATTGTTATTATAATAAAACCTTACGTGATTATGAGATGTTATCTGCGTTAATGTAGAAATAGAAGTGGCAAAAACAGGCCGTAACAGGCGTGCCTCGCTTTGGCACGAAATTAAAATAATTATTAAAATAGCCGAGCTATTAACATGATTCTAATAACATTAAGTGAAAAGTTGCGTACCTAATAACAATTGAACAATCGTAATAATACTTACACTGTTAATAAACACAACAGTCATTCAGCAAACAAAACATAATGGTGGTGACACTCTTGAGAAATCAAAATGTGGTGCTTTAAAATGATATGGAAACAATAAACATAAAAGCTGCGGCGTGCACGGCGCATGTGATTGCTGTGAATTAATTAAAGTGGTTTTCATTAGGACCATAAATGCGAGTGGCGGCAGTCCGGCGTGCGGGACGTAGCGTAGGACCGCGGCTTCGCGGGAGATCGGGAGCGCGGGCCGCGCGGCCGCCATGTTGTCCGCGGCTGGCTGTGCGCGCCGCGCGCCGCCAGGGCGGGGCCTGATCGCAGATAACAAAGCTCCGCACGAACGCGGTCCGCTGCCCGCGCCCGCCGCCGTCTTCTGACGCACCCGCACTCCGCTCTACCTGCGCCTGATACACTATGTAGTACTTATCTACGTATGTGGCTACACTACCTACGTTTCAATGAACATTTGGCAATATCAGACAAATTGGAAACAACGTTGCACAGAAAGGGATTTTTACAAAGACCGTCTGGAAGACAGTACTAACAAGATTAGTTGAACTAATCTCTTCCGTTGCAAATGTTGTCTTAAGCAAAACTCAATAAAATTATCTGAATACTAGTCAACATCAAAAATCGCAATTAGATCATGCTTTTATTTACAATAACTTAGTTTATTTACATTGTACAGAGCCGTATAATGATTACTTAGTGACATTTGAATGTGTTATCTCGTCGTTGATGCAAGTCCCGCAATAAAACCCTTTTACGTAACACGTGATGTAGACGTGAGTGATTTACTACGACGATCGGGACCACAATATAATATATCCCAAGTTTACTTTAGACGACCCGAGCGCGCCCTGCACAATACTTTGGATAATTTATTTACACGCGACGGGTAAACTTAGGACCTTTATCTCTTTGTTGGGGAGTTTTAGGTAAGATAAAACAGGTAATGTGTTCCTTTATGTGAGTAATCGTAAAGTGATGTCCGCCCCGTGACGACCTCATGGGGTT